TCTCGCCCCGCCCGGCCTTCTTCTGCCCGGTGCTCGCCCAGCTCCGCCCGCCGCCGCCGCTTGCCCTGCGCCGGGAGCGCCGCTGCCCGCTCGGCCCCGGGGCTGGGTACACCCGAAAACGGTGGCGAGTTTCTCTCTCTCTCTCTCTCAGTAAATCTTAATTATTGACTACTTAACTGATGGCAGCACAAAACTCTGACCCGATTTTAATATCCACGTTAAGTGAGGTGGCTTGCGGAAGACTGAAAATAAAACCGAAAGATAAACTTATTTCTGAAGTTTGGTTGTTTTTTTTTTTTGGCATGGATCTTCCATTTTCCAAGTGTTGCTGTTCAAACAAATTAGGGCTCCGTGCTGTTTGCAGAACTTGAGAGAAGTCAGCCGTGGGGTTGCTTAACTGGGGGCACATCTATTAATGGGTTCAAGTTGGAAAAATCAAGTTAATGCACTTCCATTAGAGCTGTTACACTACTAAACATATATTAGGATATCCTGAGGAAGAGAGTTCAAAGCCCTGTCCCAGAGCACAAACAAATTCAGTATAAGAGAGTTAAAATCTTTTATCTTGCTGTGCTCAGACCATGCTCCCTCATTAACCTTTCTTAGGATTCAGTCCTGTTTAAGTCAACAGCATTTGCTAGTGACTGTACCCTTAATAATTAGGACTCTTTGTGAAAATTAGAAGAAGAGATTCATTTGGGAAAAAAAAAATAGAAGAAAAATGCTCAAAGAAAATCTCATCGCTAACACAATACCCAGGAGCTCCAATTCTAACACCAAAGTCTATAATTACATATTGTTCTTCAACTTCAACAGAAGCTCCATTACATAAAATATATACTTTGGGGAACAAAGGATAAACTGCAGGGAACAATCCTTCACTGGCAAGAGAACAATTCCTTATCAGGTCTTTTCTGTACCTTACTTTTATGATGCTCAATATAATTCCAAAAAAGAAAAATGTGTGAAATATGAGCCATTATCCCCTCCAGTAACAGGATATACCAAAAAAGAGATGCCTGAGAGTATTTTTATTTCATGTTCAGTTAATTGAAGAAAGGGCAGTGTGGCAGTACTCTCAGTGCTATGGATTTTGCATTATAAGGGCATCACAATGAGACTGCTGGATAACTGTGGATTATTACTTCTCTGAATAGGTTATTAGATTTTTTTTCATTGTTTGAAATTTTCTTTCCCACTAAGGCAATAAATAAAAATGTTAAATGTTAGACTGAATGACATCAGCCTGTTTTAGAAAATTGAACTGACTGACATATTTTATGTCTTTTTCACAGCTAACACTGTGTGTGTGTAGTTATGGAATAGAAAGGGAGATAGAGCAGCTATGAAAGTCTCAGTGGGAACTTTCCTAATGGAATTTACTTTCTCAATGCATATCTAACAAATATCAGTAATAAACTCGAACAAACTCAGTTGGCCATAGAGGGAGTTCTTTTCTCTCAGCAGTAATATCTGAGCTACCGCAAGCTATTATAACATCAGCACAGCAAACAGAATTTGTCACTCATTTGGAATTTAGTAACAATTATCAAAGTTATCAGTGCTGATTATGTGTAGTGACACTTCTTGAGATGGATAACTTTTACAAGAGAAGTATGTTTTATGCATCTAGAAGTAGCCTCAGAGGTGAGCAGTGCTTGTAGTAGCTGGTAGTTTCACTGAATTTTTTAAGTATAGCCCATTTTCCTAAAGGAAGAAATTGTGAATTTGTAGAGAAGAGCATGTGACTAAAAATAATTATTCTGAGATTTCTGCTAATAAGAAAGCATAAATGAAATCCTGGCATGGATTTGAGGTTTGTAACTGATTTCTTGCTGGTTACAATCTCAGTTCCTGTTTGGAGTGTATTGCTTCTGAGGCTCTTACACCAAATACTAGCAAAACCAAACTGAATTTTATGTAGTAATGACTATGACTCTGCTTGGGATTATGATCTCCCACTTGGAACCTTCTCCTGTAAAAAAAAAAAAAGGAAAGGTAAAAGACAAAGAAAGTAATGATGGGCTAGAGAATTCATGAATGTCTCACAGTATTAGGAAACTGGAGGATATTTTACAAAGATAAAAGTCTTAGATATGAACATTAAAATACAGAAAATAGCCATTAGTTAAATAAACAAACAAAAAAACCCATGCAGAACAAAGTGATTATTTTGATCAAAATTTGGAAAAAGGCAGTAAGGCAAGAGGAAAAAACCTCTGAAAGTGAAGGTTCATCTGTCTTCACTATCATGAATTCACGTGCACAAGAATTTCATTAAAGGCATGTTTTGGATCAGTATGTATGCAAAATGATCCTACTGAATTGCGGTCATTTGATTTAGAGCACCGGGTATAGCTCACATTCAACGAAACATATCAAATTGCCAAAAAACCTGCCTAGTTTCAACGCAGCTACAGTTTTGCTACTTGTGCAACATCGCTTGGCTTTTGTTTTACCTTTTTCTTTTGACTGCCCTCAGTGACTACGTAGATCTCCCACCAGGGGAAAAATACGTAGTTGAAATTACTTTGGCGTGATAATATTTAGCCAAAGGAGGATCGGTGCTGCAATGTGGGTAACCTTCAGAAAACCACGATTCTGTAAAATATTTAATTTTTCAAAAGAAAAAAAGCTAGAGCTTGACAACAGTCTCCAGTTCGAGGCACTAAAAAAAAAAAAAGCCGGCACAACCGTTAGGGACAGTAAATTTCAAGCGATTCGAGAAATCAGGAGGATTTTTAAAGCCCTTAGAAACAACGAAGCTTTGGGCAGAGAGCCAGGCTCACCCTGAAACACAGCGGGGCCCGCTCCCTGCTGTAGCATTACGGCTTACGTTACTAAGCGGGTGCAGACGGCGCAGCGGCTTTTCCACCTCGAAAAATAATTTAAATCCCTTTAATTCCTCAGCCGGATCACAGCACGGAGCCCCACCGCAGCCGAGGGAGCCGGAGCACGGCATCCACTACAGACAGCGACCGAGCCCCTGCCTGCTG